GGAAATAGAGCTTCATTGCTCTCCATTGATACGTTGATTTAGCTCTGTTTGTGAAAATGTTTCTTTACCCTGGTATTGCTTTGGAGAACTCATGACCCTTGAAGGGTTTACAACCAAGTAAAACATATGTATTCATCTCTTCTTCAATTATAAAGATCGGTTCTTGTACAAGTTAGATTAATGGGAGGAGAAGACCACAATGGCAGATTATGGTTGCAGAAGGAAGTAAGGGAAGTTTATAGGATCCAGCTCACACTTTCTAAACTTGTAAGATCCATTTCCTTGAGCTTTTTTCATGCAACTCTTGCTCCTCACTTTGATAATTTGGGACTTCGTACAACTTAGTTGCCAAAACAGTGCTCCAAACCCGAGTCTTTTGCTGTAACCCCATCAGAACAGTATACAGACCCAATCATGTTGTTGAATTGGCAACGTCTTCAAGAACAATGTGAACCTGCACAATCCATCTCACACCTAGATTTATCTAAATTTCAAATAGAACACATGTGAGTTAATTTGTTGCAAATCCTCTTACATCTCTATTAAGAACACGAAGCTCAGTAAATACTTGGCTTCCATTACAAACGGATCCAAGGAAACCTCAACGGACAATGCTGCTGAGACTGAGGCTCTGGGCTGATGTTAGAGGACCACGCGGCTCAGCAGAAGCCTCTCCATTCAGAGCTGAAGTAACATCTGGCTCAACAACAGTTTCTTGGGTAGATCTCCTTCCCATCGATGGTGCATACATAGAAAATATCCGATAGAAATGGAGGAATGGACAAGGTTGGGTTTAGAGATCAAGATTTGGACAGTGGAGAAAGAGGAGTCAATGAATCTGTGATTAACTCCTCTTCCTCCACTCTCCACTAACTTTTTGTTAGTCTAGGACACAATAAGTAAAACCTCCTAAAGAGGAATGGGAACTCGGGGAAAAGAATTTGCTATGAATGCTTTTCTTTATGACAGATTCAGCTTCACCTGTATGGATTCATCAAAATGTTATTAAAGATAAGAACTTGTGAATTATCAAGCAAGCTCAAAATATTCAAACAACTGCTAAAACAATTGGAAAAACCCCAAAATTCGCGAAGAAGTTTGACAGAGGGGAATATCTTGAAACAATTTGTTAGGAATGGGAAAGGAAGAAATGTAACATACCCTGAAGACTGCCCTTCTTAGAGGTGCATCATTGTACTTGATTTGGAAATTGATCGAGGGAGTGAGAGCCGCAATGCAAGAAACGTCAATGGTGAGAACTTCTCCCACCTCCAGGTTTTTCTGTACAACTTATAAAGCAAATGGATGACAGTCAGGTTTTTTGGAAGGTGGCCAAAACTGAAAGAGCAAAATGCAGAGATATTAAACCTTAGTTGCTTACCAGAGCCAGCGGCGATCATAAAAGCAAGACCCTGGCCTTTGTCTCAGAAACCCCTGCAGCAACGAGTCTGTGAGTTACAGGAAGTAACTAGGATAGCAGTAACTTGAAGATTTGTATGAAATTTGACAGGCCAATGCAATGTATTGTGTGCCTTACCTCAGCACCAGCCGCCTCAATATTTCTTGCTCTATGTCTCTGGTAAACAGAGTTTATGACCTTCACATAATGGACAGAACAGAGAAATGCATCTGGCTACACAACAAGAAGAAAAGGTAATATCAGTCAATGAGAGAGCCAAAAATATTGATTTTTGGAGAGTATTTATAAGAAGAAAAAAAAAGTTGGCGGTTTTAGTTCATGAGCTCTACTTGGCATAGGATGTCCCCACCAAACATTGCCAAATCAACCTTCAAAGGAAAACAATTAACAGAAGGTGACCTAAACACATAAGAATGAGACCAGGATGTATATTAAGCATGAAACTTAAGCATGCAAAAGAAAATTATGGGAAGGTAGAATCACTAACTGGGGGAATCCTTACCAAAGAAGGTGCGGCGATACCAACAAATCCATCGTTTTGGCTGGTGTTGCGAAGAAGTATACTGCTAACACTCTTGCCTAAAAGCCACTGTACAAGTCCAAGTTCTTGTTCGGGGGTATAAGTATTCTCCATCTCAACGGAGCCAGACATGTAGCACATGGAAGCTAATGAGCACCTAACTAAATCAGATAAACAGATGTTGAAAAGGGACTGGCAACAAGGAGAAAAAGGGAGCATTTTAGAGATTACCAGGCTTAGCAATGACCTTCTCCTGTGGTTATAACATTATCTGACAACAAGACCATCAAATGGTTAGAAAGCTATGGCTCACACAAGCACAAAACAATGTGGAACCTACCTGAAGAACCTGAGCTTCACCACCCAGAATTTGGAAAGGTGTAATTGTATCTTCTTGACTCTACATCACATGACCGACCACTTGTGAGTAGGAAGGATTATACATACACTTTTGAAAAAGAGATCAAACAAGTAGAACTACACAACTACACAGGCTTGCTGGTTTCTGATAGAGAAGATAAAACAGACAAAAAAAAAAAAACCTCTCTATGTTTCACATTTCGGTAAGGATCTGAGAAGATACTATATGAAGCAATAATCCTGGACTTTCTCTCATGTTTGGGGACGTGACCGACCTGCAAGAAAAAAGAGACCAAATTTGTTGAATTGTTCTTTCCTATACAATAGAAACCATGGTTATTATTATACCCAAGCCCAAAAAGAGAGATCGATCCTTGACCTTGCAGCAATCCACTGGATAAAATGGTAAACTTTGGATGAACAAGATGCCTGGTCCCGTTCTCTTACTACTCCAACTTCTTGTTCAGGGTTATTAAGTATTCTCCATCCCAATGGAGCCAGACATGTAGCACATGGAACCTAGAGCACGTAACTGAATCAGATGAACAAATGTTGAAAAGGGAATGGCAACAAGGAGAAAAGGAGCATTTTAGAGATTATACGAATGACCTTCTCCTGTGGTCAACAAAACCATCAAATGGTTAGAAAGCTTACTTGAGGATGTATGGCTGAGCTTCACCACCCAAAATTTGGAAAGGTGTAATTGTATTTTCTTGACTCTGCATCACATGACCACTTGACAACAATTGTGGTTAAACTGTCCATATTACAAGAAGTAGCCCAACTCAGCCTAACCAATACAATTTTGACTCCTGCAGCGACCTCCCTTTTCTTGAATCCTGCAGCGACCTCCGACTAGAAGTTCTCCACCAACAATGTCTTTGACTCCTCCAGCGACCTCCCTTTTCTTGATTCTTTCCTCCATTACACTTACGATTCTTCCACTTCCACCCTCCACATCGCTTATCGCCACACCAACCTCGCCTCTGGCAAATGGGTTGCTTGGGCCCTCAACCCGACGTCTACGGGAACGGTGATCATCCTGGGGGTGGTGAACGTGTTCAAAGGGCTAGGCATATTGAGTCCCAAGAAGCAGTGGAGAAACGCTTACATTGGTATCATTGTTGCTCTCGCCATTGTGGCCGTCCTGCTCAAAGCCTTAACTTGGTATGTGGTCATTAAGAGAAGGAAACTGCTAAAACAAGGAGCAACCAATGGCGCTCGGTCTTAAGATTAGCATTAGACTTGCTTCTTTTTCTATTTGTGCATAGAGAGAGTGATTTTTTTTTTTTAATGGTTTCTCTGCTTATCTATCCATTTGCAGTAGGTCAATGTCGGATTCTCATATGCATTTTTGATTTTTTTAATCAAGATGTGGGGCTTTTGCCTCTACTATTGCTTCTGAACAGAGCTAATAATGCCATTTGATTTTATCAACACTAAAGGAGTGTACATGTGGATCTAAAAGACCCAGACCAGTCAATAGCTTAGGACATAGAGAGAGAGAGACATTACCTAATACTTAACAACAATCTTTGATGCTCTAAAGATGTCTTTCAAAGGTTAAACAGAAGGCACGAGCTTCTGTGTACATGTGCGTGCTCAAGCACGATCTCGCGGCTTAAGGCTTGCGATCTCTTTCACCACCTGAGCTTTGTCTGCATCAAAGCTCTCGTCCTCTGCCACCAAACAGACATGAATCATAAACATAAGAAGGTTGAGAACCAGGTCCATTCTCTGGTGATACAAGAGTCTCATAATACAACAAGTCCCATACCTTTGTCCAGTTTGATATCAGCTAACAATCTCAGAAGCTTATTTCTGTTTATTTCTGTTTGCTACCAGAATGTTGATGATGTCTGAAGGCTTGTTTTGGTTTGCTACAAACAGCTGTACAACACAACAACATTTTCCAAAAATCAAAAATCTAATTGCCAAAGTCGCCTGGTTGATGCGTATGCATCACTGGGTAAAACCTACTCCATGTCTTTATTGTACAAGAAAGATACCTTGACAACATGGAACGCTTCTATCTGAATGGTCTTGCTTGATTCCTGCATTTCCAATACTGTTATCTGTTTGGCAGAGTAAGACATGAAGAATAAAATCATTCAGGGTATCGGGTAAAGCATCATACCCTCAGAAGATTCATGAGAATCCTCAAGTTATCCATTGAGCTCACATATTTCGTCATCACAGCTGAATTTGACCGATCCAGTAATATATCGCCCAACAACTGTAAAATTTACACATTACAATCCATCAAATGCTATCTTTTTCGTGATTACCCATTTGTGAATTATGATTTCACATTCCTCCAAGTTACTCTACCTTAATAGCTTGCCGTCTGGTTATATAATTACTTGATTCAAGAAGCTTTGAGTTGTAGTCTGCGAAAAACTGTAAACCAAAACAGCTGAGAATCATACTGGATCGATTCAAGCAAGATTTTCTGATTTGGACATTGTAAGAGAGCTTACCCAGTCTTCGTTCTTAGTGAGAAACTCAGCAACTGTAGACTTGTGCCTTGTCAGAAGTTCCCTGCAAGAACAAATCAGAGAACTAGAATTATGATGGCGTGTTTTAGAGAAAGTCTTACGAGAATTTCAAGTAGGTGTGCAGTGTTTGGGAACCTTAAAAGTTGCAGCAGCATCAGCAGCAATGTCGAAATTGGGAAGCTGTATGTAGTGAAAGAACTTCTTCGCATGCTGTGAGTCCAAAACATATCTGAACTCCAAAAAAAGAGAAGCGGTTTCCATTATAAGATGCTCCACAAAACACCACTAGTTAACTGTTTCCACTATATTCAAGTTTGGTAGACGAGATTGTCTCTTTGTGGATAAAAGCATATATATTATGAAGGATGTAATGTGGTAAGGGAAGCAAAATATAAAATTTGCTCACTTTGCAACAATCTGATGGCGGATGCACTCTCTAAACATAGTACCATAGTGTAACGCCATATCTGTGTTTTCGAAGCTGAGAGAAATCGCTCATGATGAAGATCTTAAAAGGAAATGCTTAATGCAACCTAAACTATATGATTAAACTCACCCTTGGAGTAGAAGATCCAAAAGATCAAGGTTGGATTGGAGATAATCAGATGCAATAAGACGAGAATTGACTTGTTGCCTCTGAAGATTTGCAACAACTTGATGACATGGAAAGTTATTTTTGTTGACCATCCGATCTTCCCCAATTGTTCTCGGTTATTTCTGCTGACAATCCCTTGTCGGTTCAGACACATACCCAGCAGGCCATATCGGAAACGGAAATGAGTAGAATGGTGAGAAGTAGGGTGGATATAGCACAGGGAATGAACCAGTTGACTGTAGCTGCGGCTGTGTGGTGTCTTCTTGTCTGTAAGAATCAGAAGCTGTCACAGACGGCGGCTCCTCGGCGCTAGAGTTGGTGGAGTTCATGGATTCACACTCTTCGGTTTCGAGAATCAACAGTGGCATTTGTGTTTCCGCAGGATTAATGTTCTCCGCTTGCAGTTCATGAGACTCCATCAGAACGTCGGCTACCTGCAAAGGAAATTATCCCATAAGGAGAACTTTATAACTGGCAATATCCACAAAATTTCAGGCCAAAGTTACAACTTGAAGGAGGCTAACAAACCTCATCAGGAATCATATCAAAGAGACTAGAACGTCTCTTGATACTTGGGTAGTCAGATGAAGTACTTGTGTCCTCGAGATACTTCATCAGACTTGAGTAGGTATCACTGGAGATACCTCGCCAATCGCCTTTTTCCGAGTAAAAAAATCCTATCCTCCTCTTCTGTCGACGAAATTCCAATGTAAACAATCACACAAATTTAAGAAAAGGTGCATTATCCTAACATACTACTCCGAAAAAAATGGTTTATGCATACAAGTCTATAGCAAATTAGCATCTGAGAAACAACCGTGGTTATCAAAGAACGTAACAATGAAAACTGAACTAGGTTGAACCGAAAAGGAAGTACTAACACGACCTACAAGGAAGGACCCCAAAAGAAGTACATTTGAGCAAAGAGTAGGGCAGAAACACAGTCGAAACTCAAAGGAAGAGAACCTGATAGACATAAGGCTGAAACAAAGTAGAGAAAAACGGAGCAGCCATGGCAGTCGAAACCTAGTGAATTCAACAGCAGAAACCCAATAAAAGTGGAACATTAACAAGATAGATAAAAATACGGTTTAAGAAGGAAACAAATCAACCGGAGAGAAGAGTACTAATACATAAAAGAGAGTAGAGTAATCCATACACAACAGTCGAGATTGATACAAAACCATACGAAAACAGTAATCCATAGATGATAGATATCTCGAATTTGATCAAATTTGTACATGATGCATTTGATCCTCGAGCCTTTTCGCCCTAAGCCGCTCTATTGCCATTGCCAGTTCATATGCCTCCACCTTCTCCCTGAAATCCTTTTCACGCATCTCCATCCACTCCTTGCTGGCTAATTCCCATTCTTCCCTGGTCTTGCAATTTTTCAGTCGATCTCTAAGTGGCTGCCTCTGATCACGGAGTGCTTGAATGCGTGCAGCATGGCGTTCAGCAATCTTTCCCAAAAGCTCAGGCTTGCCCCTCACAAAATCATTGCAAGCAAATTCCAAGTGTTCTTCTCCACTAGCAATTTCACGAAACCCCTAACAAAGCATAGCAACATCAAGACCAAGAAAGAAAGGGGAGTTTGTTTGATTTTCTCAATGTATTAACTGATGACGACGACGAAGAAGAAGAAACTCACGTATGCTTTAAACTTTGTGAAGTTGTAGATCTGCAAGTGTTTGGTAAGAAGGTCTCTCTTACATTCTAGCGGTTTCCAAACGATGAAACTGCTTCCATCAGGACCCCAAGACACTATTGAATCCGTTGAATGATCATCCACCATTTCATACGCCTTCTTCACGAAACCAAAAACATCGACTCTTCTCCTTCCACGTTCCATTTCTTATCTACAAGATGTAAACATGTAAGTCTATGAATCAGAAGCAGAATCCCAAACAAATCAATAACCCTAATTTGATTTTGGGAACAAATCGGAATCCTACCCTGCGATGATTTTGCCGGAGGAACGAATCCGAGGAGAGATTTTTCTTTTTCTTTCCCCAACGAACCCTAAGAGGATAATATAA